ACTGTCTCCATTAAGACCAAAGCTTCTATAGGAAATCTGCTTCTTTAATTATCTTTTTTTTTTGGGGGGGGGGTCCGGTCGTGGGGCCTGAACTCTAGGCCTGGGCGCTGTCCCTCAGCTCTTCAGCTCAAGGCTAGCGCTCTACCACTTGAGCCACAGCGCCACTTCTGGCTTTTTTCTTTTTGCTTATGTGGTGCTGAGGAATCGAACCCAGGGCCTCATGCATTGCAAGGCAAGCGCTCTACCACTGAGCCACCTTCCCAGCCCTTTAATTATCTTTTCTAAGTTTTTTCATGTTATTTTCTGTTGTAGTTTCTAAATAATAATGTTATTTAAAAACCTGTTAGGTTATAGTACATGATAGAAACAAAACAAACATTACCATTTTGAACTCTGAAATGAAAACATTTCCCTTTGTAATTGGATGATTTTCCCAGAATAATCATAAATGTGCTTTATTCTCCGTAGTTCTCATCACTTTCTAAAGTATTTTATTATTTACCTCGTCAGACATTCCTACTGTCACCATCACCAGCCACCAGAATGTAAGCCCATAAGACTGACAGTGTTCATGGCCATATCCTCAGTGAGTAGATGAGTACCTGGCACACAGTAGGGCTTCAATAAACGATGGAAAGGAAATGAAGAGAAGAAGGGGAGGGAAGGGGAAAGGGTGACAGGCAGGTGAGGGGCAGGCAATGTTCTTTTATGAAAACTTCAGCACTTCAAAATATTTTATTGATGTATACTTGAAATAGCTAGCAAGGATATCTCTTTTAAATGTCAAAAATGTGTTATGCAATATTAGTCTCTAAAAAAATCTCAAGGAAATTGTTCATAAAATTAAGAGACCAACTGTGGTATTTTGGGAAAACAAGAGTGAATAAAAAGTATCCTAAGAGATAAAGATGTTTAAGATTTAGGATTTTGAGAGTAGAAATATTTTATGTTATAATGAGGATACTTTGTTTCAAAGAATCTTCCCACAGATAATTATTCATTATGAAGGGCATTGTTTGCAACTTTGCATCTAAAACATCACATTAACGAAGCAATCAAGGTTAATAGCACCAATCTTTTTTTTAAATATGTTTTTATTGTAAAAATACTGTACAGGGAGGTTACAGTTACATGAGCAAGGTAATGAGTACATTTCCTGTCAAGCATTGTTGTCCCCTTCTTTGTTTTTCCCCTACCATCCCTTCCCTCCCACCTCCACAACTACCCCCCTTCCACCCTAAATTGTAAAGTTCATTTTTCAACATAGTGTCTTGTGTATCTCATTGTTACAATGGGTCAACCTGTATCCCTATTTAAGCATTTTGTTTTTTCCCTTCCCTTCCCCAAATTAGAGAAGTGTATATACAAGATGCAGGGCACCAACATCAAATACAGTGAAAACAGGTTATATCATGGGGGAGGAACATACAAAGAAAAAAAATCACATGTTACATTATAAATATGTTAGAAACAATAGCAAGAAAGGAAAAACAAGTTGTGTCCCTATCTTGGGGTTCATTTCACTTAATATCATCTTATATGGTACATAGCTTTTGATCTTTTCTGCTTATCCCAGACATATACTAGTTATTGCAAATAAGGGAAACCATGGGACCTATGTTTCTTTGGGCCTGGCTTCACTTAATGTAATTTTTTCCAAGTCTTTCTGTTTCCTAACAAATGGGGCAATGTCATTCTTTCTGATGGAGGCATAGAATTCCACTGTGTTTATGTGTGTGTGTGTATTATATATTATATATCTCACATTTTCTAGACCCACTTATCTACTGTGGGGCATCTGGGTTAGTTCCATATCTTATCTATGGTAAATAATGCTGCAATAATCATAGTTGTGCTGGTAGCTTTAGTATGTCTTCTTTGTGATCATTTGGTTAAATGCCCGAAAGTGGGATTGCTGGGTGGGTCATAGGGGAGCTCTATGTGGAGTCTTTTGAGGAACCTCCATACTGCTTTTCCAAAGTGGTTGAACAAGTTTACACTCGCACCAACAATGCAGTAGGGTTCCCTTCTGTCCACATCCCCTCCAGCAAGATGCTGCTGTTGTTCTTGATGATAGTCATCCTGACTGGGCTGAAGTAGAATCTCAATGTTGTTTTGATTTGCATTTCTTTTATGGCTAGAGAGGTTGAGCATTTCTTCTTGTGTTATTGGCCATTCTTATTTCCTCTTCAGAGAAGTTTCTCTTTAAGTCTTTAGCCCACTTATTTATTGGGCAGTTGTTTCTTTGAGGATTTGTTGTTGGGGGATTTAATTTTTTGAGTTCCAAGTATATTTTAGATATGAGACCCTTGTCCATTGTATGGCTAGTGAAGATCTTCTTCCAATCTGTGGGCTTTCTATTGATCTTGCTAGCTATGTCCTTTGCCATGCTGAAGCTCTGCAGCTTCATGCAAACCCATTTGTCCAACCTTTCTTTGATTTGTTGTGTTTCTGGGTCTCTATTAAGAAAATTTCGTCCTGTGTCAAGGAGACCTAGGGTTTCTCCTATTCCTTCCTGTAATGTTTTCAAGGTATCTACTTTGACATTGAGGTCTTTGATCCTTTTGGAGTTGATTCTGGAATAGCACCATTCTTAAGTAGTATTAGGCACCAAGAAATGGACAGCGTCCTTTCTAGGATAGATTTTACTGAATTTTTGCTCATGTTGGATCTCCATAATTCTTCCTTCTCTGCTTCTTGAGTAACTGGTATTACAGGTGTTTGCTACTTTGCCTACTCATTTTTTTAAAATAAGCATTTATAAGCTAAATGAGAGCCTGACATGAAGTACTTTTAGAAAAGTAGCCAATGATGTGTGTTTAGATATGAACCACAGCGCCACTTCTGCCTTTTTTCTTTTGTTGCTTATGTGGTGCTGAGGAATTGAACCCAGGACCTCATGCATATGAAGCAAGCATTCTACCACTGAGCCACCTTCCCAGCCCAGACCTTTCCTCTTTTTTAGTTTTTTATCTCATGCATTTTCTCATAGTGATAGAAAGTTATCTGATACATGATAAAGTTGGACATGAAAAAAACAAGGTTACAGAAATGATTATCTTAGGATATTGGGAGAACTGTGAGAGTTCAGAGAGCTGGGTACCAGTGGCTCATGCCTGTAATCCTAGCTTCTTGGGATGCTCAAAATGGGAAGATCAACATTCAAGTCCAGGCTGGACAGAGATGTTAGCAAGACCCCTTTTCAAACTACAGCTGCATACAGTAACACACCTGTTATCCCACACTATAAAGAAGGCTGAGATTAGGAGGGTGAGGAGGTATACTAGGTACCAGGCCAGCCTAAGTAGAAAAATCCATGAAAAAACTTTTGGAAGCCAGACAGGTAGCAATTGCTTGTGGTCCCATTGATGTAGTCTACAGTAAATATAGAATAAAGTCTACAGTAAATCAGTATTTGAAAGTAGATGTGTGCAAAACTGCATGACCCTCAACATTTGACTTTCATATAATTTGTGTTGATATGAATGAAATATGGTACATTTTATTATGACAGATTCTAACATGACCCCTTATGACTCTCTGTATTTGGCCTATGTCATCTGTTCTCCTTGAATAGAGGCAGGACTTTTTGTCCAACTTACAGAACATAATGAAGGGAAAGTCCCTGCTATGATTTGGTAACATAACATTTTAACTTCTGTCTTGCTATCAGGCTGGCTCTGTTATCTTTTTGTCTTACACATTTTAATGAAACAAGCATCTGTGTTAGAGAGGCCCACATAGCAAAGAAATAAGGATGGATTCCATCCAACAGCAAGCAAGGAACTGTGGCCCTCAGCCCAACATCCCATAAGAAACTGAATTCTGCCAATAACCACATAAACTTAGAAATCGAATCATCCTTAATGTAGCCTCTAACTGGAACTCCACCCATGACTGACACCATGATTATCTCCTGAAGCAGAGTACCCCACTAACTAACCCCACTAACTCATGCCTGGATTTCTGAACACAGAAGCTAGGAGATAATAAAAATGTATGTTGTTAAAATGAGCAGCTATGCTATGGTAATTTGTTATTTGTTAGATAACAGAAAATATGTCAGTTATCTTACAGAAATAATACATTATTGGCTTTCTTTATTTAATCATCTGAGTAAATTAGATATAATACCTTCCAGTTTATTGAAAACTGATACAGATAGGAAAAGAAATGAGCTTGAAATAGGTAATAGTCTACTTAGAAAAGAAACAACTAACTTACTTACAAAGGCTAATTCCCTTAGGCCAAGACATCCAAAGAGCATAACAAGTTCCATTAAAATATGACTGCAGCCTATACGAGGCTAATCTACTTCAAGTCCTTTGCATTTGCTATTTCTTCCTTCTGAATTGCTTCCCTGAGATATCCATATAGATTATGTCATTGCTTCATTAAGAGAGGTTTCAATATATGAAATAGTCCTCATCACTCTTTCCTCTAAACTTTATTTTTCTTCCATGCACATTGATACTTGACATTTAACAAATGGTAAAAATTATAGTCTGGTTCTGTTGCTTTAACCAAATCCCTAAGATTGAGTGATATGGTTTAAATATGAAATGTCTTCATAGGTTGAACCCTTGGTCCCCGACTGGTAGTACTGTTTTAAGAGGTAGTAACAATGTTAGGAGGTAAAGCTTACCTGAAGAAAGTAAGTCAGTTGGGACATGCCTGATCCCTAGTCCCTTTTCCCTTTCTCTGCTTCCTGTTAGTCTTGAGATGAGTAGCCTTTTTACTTGCTCCCAAGGCCCCAGATGCTATGGAGCCAGGGTCTATAGACTGAAGCCTGACCCAGTTTCTCAAGTGCTGGGATTACAGACACTCGTCACCATGCCAACTACTGGCATTTTAAAAAACATGACTTGAACACATCTTCACCCTGCAGTGTTGGGTAAATAAACTAAATAGTAAGATCATCTTTATATGTAAAAAATCATTTATTTACTATATTTTATTGCTTTATCATTGTCTAATCATGTTATTATTTTACTTGCCAGCATCTGTGTTTTTGAAACAAGCCTTTGAAGGAGAATACCCCAAATTATTACGTCTTTATAATGACTTATGGAAGCGTCTTCAACATTATAGTCAATATATCCAAGGAAATTTTAATGCAAGTGGAACTGCTGACCTCTATGTTGACCTACAGCACATGGAAGATGACACACAAGATATTTTCATTCCAAAAAAGCCAAATTATGAGTATGTTTATTTAATTTGCCCTGCTGCCATTTAAGAATTTTTTTTAAAGTTTTCATTGTAAGTTAGAAATTTGGAATATACTAAGCTCTGAATATTTGTACTTATTATTACTTATTTATATACTTTTTAAAAGAAAATTTTACGACTTTTTACTGAAGGAGACATACTTCACCAGTAAATGAACATTCAGGTTCCTGGTAGAACCAGTTATAGTATAACACTGAATAAGGAAATTAGAAGATAAGAAATTAATATATTTGGTCATTGTTTTTAATTAATACTTTATTGTATTTGTAATTATTATTATTATTTTCTTGCCAGTCCTGGGGCTTGAACTCAGGGCCTGGGCACTATCCCTGAGTTTCTTTTGCTCAAGGCCAGTGCTCTACCACTTGAGTTTTTTCTATGTATGTGGTACTGAGGAATTGAACTCAGACCTTCATGCCTGCTAGGCAAGCACTCTACCAGTAAGCCACATTCCTAACCCTGTACCTGTAATTATATCAGATAATATCATTATTGATAATTCACTGACATAAATATGACAAAAGGAGCTGGGGAGATAAATCTTATGCTGGGATAGTTTTTTAGTCTGTGTATTAGGAACAAAACAGCTTATAAGCAAAACTACCTTAGATCCACTTGGATCACACACAAGTATGTAACCATAGTTAGGAATCACACTGGCAATTAAATACCAGCTCTGTAAACTCAACTCAGTTGGGTTTCTTCCAGAATTGAAATGGAGTAGTTTCAAATTTTTGTTGGGACACCAGATTAAGTAATTTCCTACAATATTTTTCTTTAAACACTAGAATTATATTTGTTGTAGCAAGGCTAGCTAAAGGAGTAGCAAATGCTTTTCACCTGCCTTATTAAAGCATTGTTGTTTGAAGGCAGCCTAAGTACAAAAGCCTATTAGACTGTATCTCTAAATTAACTTGCCAAAGGCAAGACTCCAAGCATAGCTCAAGTAATAAGGGGCCCACTATTCAAGCAAGTCAAACAAGCAGAATTTCAAACCCCAGCACTACCCCTCTCACACACACACAAAAAGTATTACTTTGTTTAAATGAATGGTCAGAAGTGGTGATATAGTCAGTGTTGGAAAAAAACAACTGAAGTGAAAAAAAAAAAAGCTACTGTATTTCATTTGGTGAGACTCCCTGTCACTCTTTGGGGACTAGATTTGGTGAAGAAGTTGGCGAGGAAAAGAGGGGAGAACTCTATGCAACTCTTCGAAAAACAGAACAAAACATGAAAAAAAATGAACAGACCTCAGAAAATATGGGAAACCATTAAATTCACTGATATGTATATAACAAGACTACCAAAAGGAGAAAACGAAACAGAATGAAAAAGACAAATACTCAAAGAAATAACTGAAAGCTTCCCAGATTTATTGCATACCAATGATGTATACATCCAGAGTGCTTAATATACTCCGAATTGGATTAATGGGAAAAAAAGTCAAATATTATTTGACAAATATCAAAGACAAGGAGATGTTTCTGTGGAGATATAGGAAAAAATCCTAAAAGCAGCAAAAGAAAAAAACAACTAATCACTGGAAATTACTTATAGTAATATTTATAACTCACTTCTCAGCAGACACAAGGAGGCCAGAATATGAACTAAAATCAAGAATGGACAATTTGGTGCTAGCATATCTGACTTTAAAATGTACTAGAAAAAGTTTCGGGCTAAAGCAAGTATTCCCAGATTTAAATTGACATTAACAAGAGCACCAGTAAATATAATTGAGAAATTTTAAAAGACATAAGCACTCATTTTCTTCTCTCAGCTGACTTTAAAACAATTGTATAAAACATACTCAGAATGTATTGTTGAGTCTGTAGCATTTAGAAATGTAAAGTATGTCTGATATATGTGCCAATAACAGCACAAAGGAAATGAGTGGGTGTAGCAAATTTGTAATGACAGATGATAAAGAAATAATTACAACAGTTCATTGTTAGATTTATGATATCTTAGATATATCTATATCAATGATACCATGAAGATAAAGTAAAGTATTAGGAATAAATTTAACAAAGAAGTACTGAACTATACCCTGAGATTTTTTTTTTTCTTGAATGAAGTTAAAGCAACAACAAAAAGAAAGCTAGCCTACACTTAAAAATTGCAAACTTGAACTGTGTAAAACTGTCAGTAATTCTCCCAAGTTATTTATAAATGAGGTAAATCCCTATCAGAATCTCTAACTTTTAAAAAATAAATTAACAATTCTCATATTCATACGAAATTTCAAGTGACCCAGGATAGTAAAACAAAACCTTAATTAAGTGAATTCAGACTTCCCAGTTTTAATGCATCCTTGAAAGCAATTATAACATGTTTTGAGTATTAGTCAGGTGGGTTTTTTTTTTTTTGTTGCTATGACAAATACCTTGAGAGAAGCAATTTAAAAGAGGAAAATTTTATTTTGGCTTGCGATTGCTGAGGTTTTAGTCCATAGTTGGCTGGGCTCCATTTGTCTAGGCAAGGCAGGAATGTAATGGAGGCAAGATAGGGTGGAGAAAAGCTGTTCAGTTCAGGCAGCCAGGAAGCAGAGGAGAGAAATGGCATGGGACAAACAATTTCCTTGAGGGAAAACCCCAATGACCTATTTCCTCCAGCTAGGTCTCACCTCCTACTTTCTACCACTTGCTATCATAGTATGAATCCATCAAAGAATCCATTACCAAGTTCAGAGGCCTCATGATCTAATCACTTTCCAAATCCAAGTGGCTAGAATTAAGTCCCCATGAACCTTGGAGGTATATTTTATATTCAAACAATAGTAGTTTGTTACTGGCACAAAGATATAGGCAGGATTGAGAATATTAAAAAAAATGATGTTAAGCTGATTTTCAAAAAGTATAAATATCATTCAGTATAGTTGTGTGTGTGTGTGTGTGTGTGTGTGTGTGTATGCGCACGCACTCCTGCGTGCACATGCCTTGCACCAGTCCCGGTCTCGAACACAGAGCCTGGCTCTGTGCATGAACTTTTTTACTCAATGCTAGTATTCTACCACTTGAGCCACAGCTCTACATCTCAATTTGTGGTGGTGAATTGGAGATGAAGGTCTCATGGACTTTAAAGTTGGGGCTGGCTTCCAAACTCAGTCTTCAGATTTCAGCCTCATGAGTAGCTTCAATAATTGTGAGCCACCAGCACTTGGCACGAATAATCATTTTGATGAATGGTGCTCAGGCAACCAACAACCACATCTGGAAAATGGAGTTGGACCTTTACCTGACACCATGAGCAAAAATTAACTCAAAATGGATTTTCAAAACTCTAACTGTATACTAATAAAATATGAAACTATTTGAGGGCAACATACAGGCACATCTTTATGACTTAGGATTTGATATAGGCTCCTTAGATATGACACCAAAAGCTTATGTAACAAAAGATAAAATGGATATGTTAGACTTCATCAAAATTAAAAACTTTAGAGTCTGAATCTTGCTCAAGTGGTTGAGCGTCTGGCTAATAAGTATAAGATCATGAAGTCGAGCCCAATACTAGCAAAAAATAAAAGTTAAAAAAGTAAAAAAACTTTTACCATCAATAATGGTGGAAAATATTTGGGCATATATATGTCAATGGACTTGTGTCTGAAATTATATGACTACTTCTTCCAGTTCAACAGTTACAAGACACATTATTCAAATAAAAATAGACAACCACCAGGATAAACATACTTCAGAGAGCATAGACATATAGTCAATCAGTCCCAGGAAAACACTCAACATTACAACTGGAGTTTTTAGGAAAAGCCCTGGTTCTGAGAGTTCCAACTGACCCAGGCTTGGCCACTCATCCCAATAAACCAGTTAGAGTAGAATATGAGTGAATGGCTGAGAAAGACATTTCATTGAACACAGCCATAAAATGTGTGTGCTATATCCATAAAAGGAATATTATTTGTCTATAAAAAGGAATAAAGTACCAATTCATACTTCAGTGAGTTATCAATAACATGTATGAACTTTGAAAACATGCTAAGTGGGGGGAAAAAAAGTCAGTCATAAGATCCATATCCTAGCCAGGTGCAGGTGGCTCACACCTGTAATCTTAGCTATTCATGAGGCTAAGACCTGAGGATCTCTGTTCAAAGCCAGCCCAGGCAGGAAAGTCCTGCTTTGAAAAGAAAATGAATTCAAACCATCAGGATAATTAGAACTCTGAAATGGATGGCTATTGATAAAGAACAAGAGACTTGTAGGTCTTACAAAGAGGATGCTGAGAGGAAAAGTTATGTTACTCTAATCACAATAAAGCCAGAGTGAGTTTGTCGAAATAAAATCTAGCACTCTCATGGTTATACAGACTTATTCTTCCCTTGTACAACATCTTGTACTTCTTTCCTGTTGCTTACTTGCTGTGTTCCTCTGGCTGTGTGGCAAACACAGCCACATACAGACTTTTCTCAAGGCCTTTACATTTGCTGTTCTCTCCTCAGAGAAAATTCTTTCCTTGAAAATTTGTGTAACTTGTTAACTTTTTTGCTTTAGGTCCTCTCACTAAGGTGTTCCCCACCTCCCTCACACACGCATTCTATCTAAAATTGAATAGAACACCCAGTTTTCTGTTTAATTTTCTTACAACATTTATTTTTACCATATTCCATTTTGAACTTATTAAATTTACTTGTTTTATGTACATCTCTTTCATTAGCATGTAAAATTTCCAAGACTGTGGAACTTCTCAGTTTCCTTCTAGGTGGATTGTAGAGATCTAATAATAATGTGGGAAGAAAAGCAATAGAAGGTAAAGCTATATGAAAAGTTACCTTTAAACTTAGAAATCAAAAGCCAGAAGTGGCACTGTGGCTCAAGTGGTAGAGCGCTAGCCTTGAGCTGAAGAGCTGAGGGACAGCGCCCAGGCCCAGAGTTCAGGCCCCACGACTGACAAAAAAATAAATAAATAAATAAACTTAGAAATCTTAGAGGTAGAGCACTTCAAAATGATTGGCTCAGTTTCGGAAATTCCATAGCAAAACCAAAGGTAATTGTAAATGAAGACATCCAGCACAGGGCAGGATTTAGAAAAGTTGTATGTTTTGACATTGTAGTCTAAGGATCCATGTAGCAGATTAGAGAACAAAAAGTGCATAAATTCAGATGCTTACATTCAGGGCCAAAATTCTGCACAAGTGGGAAAAGGCTTCTTAAAGTCAGTAGATGATAGAAACTGACATACAAATGACATGTAAAGATGTGGCATGAACTTTATATAGTGAGACTGCCACAGGCTGAATTACATACTAGTTTTTTCTGCCTCCATATGGTCTTTGTGTCTTCATCTATTATAGAAATCATCATAATTTTCACTTTACTTGCCCCTCCCCCTTTTCACTCAAACACTCTTAAATATAACACTCTTAAGTCTTATCTTCCCAGTGCTTATCAAATGCCTGGTGTGTAGTATTCTTGGTAAATATGTGTTGAATGAAACACTTACGAATGAGAAAGTATTGAGATAACTGTGGAATTAGGATGTAGGAGCCAAGAGCATTCTGACCTCTAGGCTTGTCAGTTGACCAGAAGGTGTAGAGAAAAAAGAGAAAGGAGAGAGAGAGAACACAAAGCCATTGCCAATAAACCATGTTTCATATATATATATACAAAGAACAGGCCAGATGTTGTCATGGTTAACATATAAGATGAAGGGGAGTTCATCTTTAGGGGAAAAAAAAATCAGTAGGAGGCCTGGTTGAGAGATTGTAGAGAGGAGAAGTGAAAAGACAAAATTAATGACAGGAGTAAGGAAGCAAATGGGAATAAATGGTTGTACACATTTGATAGTAATTGTCAAGGAAAACTTTCAGATCTAGGCATTTGACAGCTGAATAAGGAACTATACAGAATGAAAATATGGGTAAAAAGGAAAGAAGTGTTTCAAGGGTTAAGTTTTATTTAGTAGGATATTATGAAAACAAATTAGCTTAGAACTCCAGTTGAGAGCCTTTATGTGCACGTAGGAGTTTCACAAATACTTTTCATTTTGTCCTCATTCTTGTTAATGCCACAAGGAGGGGAAAGCAAAACAGCCTAGATCTGTACCTTTCCCTCTCAGCCAGTGAGCTTTGTGGAAGATGGCAGCTGAGGGTGAAAAGGGTTGAGCTAATGGAGCAGGTCTTTGCAGGTTTGTCTCTCTTGGTATGCTTTGGTACTCTATAAATAGGATTTGCTAACTAAAAGCAAAGCCTCTGATAGAATGAATAGGCTCTTACAGTATTTTTTAAAATTAGTTTTAGGTAACAGACAATACAGTAGGTATTAGTACATATTGTATTACATTTATAGCTAAGACTTAGGCACAAATTAAAAAGCTTGATCCTTAATAAATGTTCTCTTATGAAATGTATTTGTAAATACATGTATACTCTTTGAAACATTTTTTCTTATCTTTATCTTTAATATAGTTACATTTTATTGGCTATAAATATTTTAAAGGTATTTATATTTCTATATATATTTTAAAACTTTTACTTAAAATTTTTATTCCCACAGTCCAGAAAAGGCTTTGAAAGACTCTCTTCAACCCTATGAGGCTGCCTACCTGTCAAAATCCTTATCTCGACTCTTTGATCCTATCAACTTGGTTTTCCCCCCTGGTGGGCGTAATCCTCCTTCTTCTGATGAACTGGATGGCATCATTAAAACCATAGCAAGGTATGTATTTTTTGTATAATGTCATACCATGAAATGCTTGCTACCTTTGTTAGTGATGTACAATAGCAATACCTTTCAAATTTATCTTAGATTATTCAAGTAATTAGGCCTGCAATTAAGTCAGGAGTTTTACAGTGAATGAGTGCACACATAACATTTGAGATTCCAATTAATGAGACCATTTACATACAGTCTAAACATAGTCTTAATTGTTCTGTTTTTTTGCCAAATATTCAGAGTAAACCTACCTATTCATACTATATTAAATTCCTAATACTAAGCAGAATAGTAAGAATAGAAATAATTTACAGATTAAGAAACTAAAACAGAGGTGAATTTTGTTTTATCTTAGGCCCAGAAAGTACTTCATAGCAGGAACAGAATTATAATCCTGATTAGCCTACTTGTGCATGCTATTTTAAGCCTTCTGAGTGAATGTGACAGCTTTTAAAACTAAAAAGGGAAAGTATCCTAGCAAAAGTGCCTCCTGAATTCTTGCAGACAATGTAATTATCCACTGCCTTAGAGATACAGCACAAAGTTATCCAGATTAGTTTGTAGTTCAGACTATCTCAGTTACTGTCACAGTCAACAAGTTGTCATGGCAGTCAGTGTGTACATGGTGGATGAATATTTTGAGGAATAAAAATAGTGGGTTGGCACTGTAGGACTAAAGTGCAGGCTGTAGACTACAGATGTGAAGGTAGTGATCTGAATCATGGAAGAGTAAGACTAAAAAGCCACAAACAGGTGTAATACATGTCAGTATATCTTCAGCAGAGAACAGGCCTATCAAAGGTCTTAGAGTGACCAGAATCTTGGTCCTGAAACTCTCCACAAGTATGCTGACTTGATAAAATATTTTGACTCTGGAGTTTTTATATTGCCTTTTTAGTGTACTAGTGATAAAACCTGTCCTACATCTGTTTATGTGGACACTAAAGAGATAGCTATTACATTCTTTTATGAAGCTAGTCAGTGCTATAATCAAATGTAGAGTCTGAAGAATTATACACATGCCAATAAGTATAGGCTTTAAAAATTAACAAAAGTTTCTCAGGACTGTTGAATGGAAATTTTTATTACAGTATACATTGATATTGTTTGAAATGCCTTCAGTTTCTTTAAAAGTAATCTGAAGTGAGATACTTCAGAAATAATGATTTTCTACCTGTAAATGGGATTTTATCCAGTTTCTAACTCCTGGTACCTACCCTTTCTTTGGTCTTCGCAAAAATCTGTTGGTAGGTTTTTTGGTGTTTTGTTTTTTCAATCTAATGTCATAATTAATTCACTGTTGAAAAATAAGCACAACACGTACTTTGAAAATCCGAAATTTTAAAATTGCAAATTATAGTTCATATGCTTTTGATATATTTAAAAGGTGACTCTCTATAAAATAGCATGAATTGGCATAATTTAAATAGAAACTGAGTATCTTTGTGTAGCATGTGTAATATTTTTAGCCCATGTCCTCCAAGTCATCATTTCCATTCAAGAGCTGTCATTTCCTTGCAGATGTCTGTGATATGCAGTGCATCTAATTGCACTTATCAGTATTAGCAAAACTGCTGCTTTAAAAATCTGTACACAATTTACTCTCTTAATCACAGACCGGATCCACCCATGACATGCTTTTATTAATGGGCAACTGGTCATTAACAAAGCTATCTTGGTGCATTTTTCCTAATGCTGAATTTAAGGAGAAAAAGTAAACAATACAACTAGTTCTTAAAAGCAATCAGTGAAATTTATAAAAAGAATCATTTCATTCTTTATTGGGCTTAGGTTTTTATGTTACTCTTTCAATTTTGAGGCATTATGTGCTAATAATTGAAATCTGTTTTTGTTTTCTTCAGTGAACTAAATGTGGCTGCTGTTGATGTGAATCTCACATTAGCTGTGTCCAAAAATGTGGCAAAGACCATCCAGTTATACGGTGTAAAGTCGGAGCAGCTTGTAAGTGGTATCCCATAACTAAATTTTAATGATTCCATTTAAAATGACCAATTACACAGTCTTTGATTAACCATACTAATGTTATAATAAACAAAGCAATCTTTTTAGCTATATCAGAGTTTTGCTAGTTGGCTCTGTTATAGTTTTAGGATAGCTTGTGGACAGATTGAGTCAAAATCATTTGTATAAAATTATTCTTGGTGGTAGCTGTATTATGAGACAACCGCCTATTTCAGACTGCCTATTTCAGTTTTAGTGAAAGACCAAATTTTGCTTGTTCATTTAGTGCTGTCTTCCATGCAGTGGTCCATGTAGTCTGGACAAATAATTTAGAGGCAGCTTTTCTTTAAACCTAGCCATACTGAGACATGGAGACTCCTGGTAGCAATTAAATGACTCATTTTTTTCTCCAATTTTATTTTTAGATACTTTATTATAAGGTTCATTGCTTGTAAAAAAGATGGTTTATTGTTATAAATAAACTTTAGTATTATATCTATTAGAGTTTAATGTAGTTAACTGAAAATGTCAGGAAAAATAGTCTATATGAGTTGTACCCACCAGAAAACCAATAGTATAAGGAAGAGCCAGCACATGGCTAGAAAGTATGTTGGTGAAAGCAGTATAGAGGTGGGGTGAGAGGCTGCAGTAAGTTATTATTTCAGTTAACTTAATAGTAGCAAATGTTTAAAAAAATCCAAATGTATTTTCTAACATGATTAAATACATGCTGTTAATAAATAGTTTATAGTCTCAAATTAGTCAGACCTACTTAATCTACTGTGTTGAATATTTCCAGGAAATTACTGACTTCCTTTTTTAAAGTAGAATTATACACACACACACACACCCCCAAGTAAATTCACTTTTCAACTTTTATTTTCATGTTTTAGGAAAGTATAAGCATTAAATAAAACCATAAGGAGCATATATCCTTGTTTTGTAAATATATTATTGACTAAATAACATGTTGAGGATAATGTTCATTTCTTGGTTATAAAGAACACTTTCTACTACTCTAGTGTTTTTTAACTTGGCATGTGATTTGTTTTTTTTGTTTGTTTGTTTGTTTTTCCAAGGACCAGGGTTTGAACTTGGGTCTTGCACTTGGCAGGAAGGCACTTTACCACTGAGCCATGCTTCCAGGCTTTTTTGCATTTGTTATTATTATTTTGTTTGCTGGTCCTAGGAGTTGAACTCATGACCTGGGAGGCTGACCCTGAGCTTTTGTACTCAAGGCTAGTGCTCTACCACTTGAGCTACAGCTCCACTTTTGACTTATGGTAGTTAATTGGAGATAAGAATCTCACAGATTTTCCTTTCAGGCTGGCTTTGAACCATGATTCTCAAATTTCAGCCTTCTGAGTAATTAGGATTGCAGATATGAGCCACCTGCACCCAGCTTGTGTTGGTTGTTTTTGAAATAAGGTCTTGCTTTCTAACAGGCCATGTGTCTGGACCATCATCCACCTATTTTAGGCTTTCCATCTTTTCTGGAGTGACAGACACATGCCACCAAACCCAGATATTGGTTGAAAAGGGTTCTGATGTACTACTACTCTTGTGTATGAATGGCAATCCTCACCTGAGATTTGGAAGGAAAGCTAAATTTTTAAATAGTGTGTTTGTTTTATAATTAAAAATTGTAAGCCTCTAATACACATATTGACAGAAATCATATCATTAATAGAATCTTCAAATAGTAAGGTAAAAGAAAGCTAGAAATGTAAAGACAGCATACTTTTCAGAAAGGGTGACTTAAAAATACAATCTGAAATAGAATGAGCAAGTTTCTAGAATCCTATTTATTTTACTAAAGACTGGAAGTTTCTTGGCTACTGAAACTTTTTTGTTTTTGTTTTTGTTGGTCATGGGGCTTGAACACTGGGCTTGAGTGCTATCCCTCAGCTCTTCAGCTCAAGGCGAGCATTCTACTGCTTGAGCCAAAGCGCCACTTCCAGTTTTCTAGTGGTTTATTGGAGATAAGAGTCTCATGTGGAGATAAGAGTCTCACGGACTTTCCTAACCAGGCTGGCTTTGAACCATGATCCTCAGCCTCCTGAGTAGCTAGGTTTACAGGCATGAGCCACTGGCACCCGGCTACTGAAACATTTTAATAAACTTAATTGAGCTTTAATTCACATCAGGAGAAAGGTTCGCAAAAGGGATTTTCAAGGTGATTTTTAATGTCCTGGGTGCCATAGAGTATAGCAAAAACCTGCATAAAATACATTTGTATGCTTGTAGTAACAAGTTAGAAATTATTTGAAGCATTATACATGTATTTTATCTCCTAAGGTTTTATTATTAGTAATCAAAGCCATGTATCATATAAATCACTGTAAGATGAATCCTTAAATCTGTTTTTTGTGTGTGCATGTAGCTGCTTTCTGTTGTGTTTTGTATCTGAGACTGAGTCTTACTATATAGCTAAAACTGGCCTGGAACTCTTCATCTTCCTATCTCTGGTGAAATTAGAGGGATATATCATTTTACCTGGCATCTCAGAGAATCCTTTCTTAAGGATAGGATAAGCTCACAGAAGAATTTACCATTATTAAGGACTTGCAGTGACTTGAGGGTTGTATCAAGCTTTGCATGTATTATCTAATTTCACAGTTCTGTTGTTGTAAAATGGAAATATTTTGCTACCAGTGCATAATGTGGAAACTGAGGCAGAGAAAGAGTAATGATAGGAACAATAAATGCTACTTAAAGTAGAGTGTTAGAGAACAATGGTTGCAGTTAACATCTAGACCAGACTTTAAGCTTTAACACTTCCCATTTCTGACTTATATCTTGTATACAAACTAACATTCTTTTATTTTATAAAAGTGATATTGTGGCCAGGCATTGGTGGCTCATGCCTGTAATCCTAGCTACTCAGGAGGCTAAGATCTAAGGCTAAGAATTGTAGCTCTTGAAGCCAGCACAGGCAGGAAAGTCCATGAGATTAATTGGACATAAATCCAGAAAAAGCTGGACTTGGTGCTGGTGGTATAGCACTAGCCTTGAGACAAAAAGAAAAAAAAAAAAAATGCTCAATGCTCAAACACAGAGTCCAAGCCCCAGGACTGGCATAAAAAGAAAAAGAAAAGATACTGTCACCAGACCTTACAATGGAAATTTTGAATTATTGTTTTTATTGTCTATATGCTAAAAGGAAATTAAATATTAGTATATAAGGAAACTATTATAGTACCTTTATAATTTACAGGATTATTAGTTTTTGTGATGAACAAATTACAGGCCAATGTAAGTATTCCTTCTGTAAAAGTGAATTGTTAGGCATTTTCCAGCAATAAGTATGACTACTTTCAGGAAGTGGTATCTTGGTTCTTAGTGTAAATGTCAAATGTTATGAACTGTGAAAAGCAGACTGACATGCAATTAAGTTGCAAACTATTTGAAAGTAACAGGAATGACATTTAATGGAAGGTTTCCGTTTCAGTGCAGGTCAGTAGCTGCAATAGTTCTAGAGGTCAGTAGTTCCAGACACTATTAAAGCTGTTTAAATATGCACTTCATTCCTTGTATCATTTCATAAGTAGCTTGGAGACTTGACATTCCCTTAATGGAAGAAAACCTACGTGTGTATTTAAATGATTTAGAGATAAAAAGTTTTAAATTTTTTTAGTTTTAAAAGGATTATTTAGTAGAGCTTTTTATATCTGTGTGTAGTATTATATGGTAATGATTATTCACATTCAAATAAATAAAAGATCAAACTGGGTGCTGGTAGCTCATACCTATAATACTATCTGAGCATTTCAGGAAGCTGAGATCAATATTCAAAGCCAGCCCAAGCAGGAAGCCAGTCTGTGACATTCTTATGTTCAATTAAACACCAAGAAAAAAAGCCAGAAGTGGAGGTGTGGCTCAAATGTAAGAGTGCTAGCCTTGAATTGAACTAGCCTCAAATGGTAGAGCACATAAACTCAGTACCCTGGACCCTGAGTTCAAGCACACACACAAAAAACCACTATTGTCTTTGAGATCTTTTAATATATTAGACACAGTATTCTGTAGGAAGATCTCATTCGTTCACTAGGGCAAGATTGTACGAGTTTTGAGTGTTTCCTGAAACATACCTAAACAATAATGACACGTGGTGGCATATAGAAAGATTCTCTGTGGTGGGAATCAGAAAAATAAAATCCTCTTTTTCTCTCCCCTCAGTAATTTCTTTAGCATTTTTCAGTATCTTAGGATGTAAATTGTTAATCTAGCAGATTAGTGAATGTGTTCCAGGGGACCTGGGAACCCCAAGAAATTATAACATGTTATATAAAGTTTCTCTGGGAAAATGCTGCCCCTGAAAATCGTTCAGTCAACTGCATAGAAAATGTTCCATATATCTGTGACTTCTACCCAAATAACAGGTAATTAGACAAAAAAATTAGAAGGCATCTAGAAAATGCCTCCAAATATTTGGAAAGTAAACAAGTTTAATGGCACTTTGACCCAGAAGTCAAAGGGAAATTTTAACTATGGTCCTACCCACTGGACCTTAGCTTCTTTGCTCAAGGCTAGGGCTCTTCACTTGAGCCATAGCTCCACCTCTAGCTTATTACTGATTATTTGGAGATAAGAGTCTCACTGACTTTCTGCTTGGGCTGGCTTTGAACCTCAGTCCTTAGATCTCATCTTCCTTAGTAGCTAAGATGACAGGTATGAGCCACCAGCATCTGACTGGTTCTGATTCTTTGTGTTGTGTATGCATGTACTAGTACTGCTTGGGCTTGCTTCAAACCATAGTCCTCTTAAGTATCAGCTTCTTGAGACTTGAGGATTACACCACAGCTTTATTAAGATACAATTTATATGCTAGTAACTCATTAAAAGTTGTCTGCATAGGCAGGTACCATTGGCCTGTATTTGTACTCTAATCCTACTTACTGAGAAGGCTGAGATCTAAGGATCACCATTTGAAGACTACTCGAGAAGGAAAGTCTGTGAGACCCTTATCTACAGTTAACTACTTAATAAAATAACAACAACAAAAATAAACTCAAAAGGTAGAAGTAGAGCTGTGTGGCTCAAGTGGTGGAGTACCAGCGTTGGACAAAAAAGCTCAGAGATTACACCCAGTCCCTGAGTTCAACCCCCAGGATTGGCACACACATACACTAAAGTGTCTGCATGCATAAAAACAAAAAATGTATAGATGGTTTTTTAAAAAATAAAAGTAGACAAAAGTAGGTTTATTTTTGTTTGTTTCATTTTTGGCAGTACTAGGGTTTGAACTCAGAGCCTTAACTTACTAGGCAGATGCCTACCAGTTGAACCCTTTTTGCTTTTATTATTTTTAAAAAAGATCTCACTTTTTGTCCAGGCTAGCCTAGACCTCAGTTCTTCTACTTATCCTCCCCACATAGCTAGGATGATAGGTGGATGACACCCTGTCCAGCTTTTTATTGCTAGAAAACAAGTCTCCCAATCTTTTTGTCAACCTCAAACCTCCTGATCTTAGTCTCCTAAGTAGCTAGTGTTACAAGCATCGCCCACCATCTCTAACAGTATATTTTTCTCTTATTTGCTCTACTATTAAAATAGGAAAATGCCCTTGGTTTCAACTCCTAAAAAGGATAATTTTTCATATTTTTGAAATTGTGTCCACATTCGGGAAGAGTTACATTATAGCTTGGTCAAGTTTAATTTACCCTTAAATAATGTTATAGGGAATTGAATTAAAATGGGATCCACATTGGAATGGTTGATATGTGATTTTTATCCTAAGCCTGAACTGTAATAGATATAGATTCAGTGAATAAAATATTCCATGCCCTTTTCTTTACGATCCATGCATATAAAAATACTATGCTGATGTTGGCCATATGCACATAGTGTAATCTTGGACAACTTCCTTTTTAAAAAGAAAACAAGAACTACCACTACCAGTTTCTTTGGAGTATAAAAATGGCTGTCAACCTTTGGTACCAAAGGTTGGAGCCACCATATTTAGACAGTCTTCATTTGTGTCCATAATGTCCCACTCATGATTCTTTCTTGTTTTCTTTGAACGTCAAAAACATAAAAATAAAATGGCCGTCCTATAGACATACGTGTGTATGTGTGTGTGTGTGTAATTTAGGTTTATTTTTCTCCTCTGTTTTCTTACATTTGAGTTCTTGAAGGAAGAAGCTTGTTGGCTATTGCCAGAAAGTATTCCTTAGAATTACTGTGTTCATGTATCAAAATAGGTATTTGTACACTGGGCATTAATTCACACCTGCCTCAGAAGCCATCAACCATGAAGTATAAGAGATTTTCTTCCAGTGCAAACTAATTGGGCTTATATCTCTATGGCTTTATCTCTGTTAGAGACTTGTTGTGAGAGGGAAGGGGAGTAGAGGGAGTCAAGCATGAACTTCTTGTTATAGAAAAAGTAGAAACGCTACCATTTTGGTAATATGATTTTGTATTGGATTCTTACAGCTGTCTACACAAGGAGATGCAAGTCAGGTGATTGGGCCTCTTACTGAAGGACAGAAAAGAAACGTGGCAGTAGTAAATTCACTGTATAAGTTGTACCAATCAGTGACAAAGGTAACCTTTATTTTTATTTTAAGTAGTTTTTTTTACTTAATTTCAGCTTTAGGTACTTCAAATCTGAAATTTAGGCAGTTTACAAGCTATTACTTAGTTTATTGGAAAACAATGCAATGAAAATGTCAGGGTCATTTCAGCTCTGAAGGTAAATGAATTTAATTTTGATTCTATATATCCAGTGGTTTTAGAATGAGTAGGAGATGTTATATTTTAAAACATTTCAAAGACCTTTATATACACTAAAAGTAACATATTGATAATTATTCTTTCACCCTGGCTTTTATTATTTGTGAGCTTTTTGTCTATATATATGGTTTACAAGTACATGAAATGGAGACCTTCAAGTTAACCAAGTTTATTAAGTAAATTATTTCAGAATGAACATCATATATTTCATAATTTTTGCTATTTTTCCACTAAAGTATTTCAAAGAAATGGCGAAACTTTCATACTTGGCCTCTGTAGACAATCATCTGTCATTATTGATGAGGAGATTGGTTCCACGAAACTCTTCCTGCCTTCCATGGATACCAAACCCAGATACTCATCTCTTACATAAATTGGCATCTATTTGCATATAACCTATTATGTGTGTAGGTATATGTATGTATATACATATGTGCATGTATATCTATGTGTATATAGATATATATCCTTCCATTTATGATGAATCATGTCTAGATTATATATAATAATACAATATAAATGCTATGCACAGTCATATTAGGTGATTATTTCTTTTAAAACTCAACTCCTGATACAAGTTGAATATATCAGGTTGTATTTTGGAATAATTCTAAATGCTATTCCTTTTTGTTCCTTCATTTTTTTTTTGTACTGAGGTTTGAACTCAGGACTTTGTGCCAATCAAGCAGGTGCCATACTGCTGAGCCATACCTCCAGGCCTTTTTTGCATTGGTTATTTTTGAAATGGAGGTCTTGTTTTCTGCTCAGATGCATGTCTGGACCACTACTCTCCTATATTTTACTGCCAACTTGGGATGACAAGCACACACCATCACTTATCCCACTTCATACATTAAGATGAAGTCTTATGGATTTTTCCTTTAATCATTACTCAAAAGCATCACAAGCAATTACAGATTGCTTTATTTAGCCTGGTTTAAATATCTTTATTGATTTTTTTTAATTGATTTGTAAAAATGGAAATACCTGACATTTGTATTTTAAAGACTTATTAAAATAAGTGTCAGCCTAAAGAAAAGTGAATGTTGTAAAGGAAATAATTACGGTTTTATTATGGCCTTTTCAAGTAAAAACTTTATAATTAAAATTAATGGACCTCAGCTCCTAGAATTCTTAATGTTTTAATTATTTGGAATATGTATTTACTTTATATATGAACATATTTTTATCTAATAATTTTAATCACTTTTGAAATAATAATAAATTAACAATATTTCAATGTAGCTATGGCAACAGCTTGATAATGTTATGCTCAGAATTAGTGTTTACAAAAAATGACTTAAGCAACACTGTAACTGAGTCAAATTTTGTTCTAGGTGGTTTCCAGTCAGAGCTCATTCCCACCAATGGCTGAACAAACTATCATTTCAGCTCTAAAGGTAAATGAATTTAATTCTGATTATATATATCCAGTGGTTTTAGAATTGTTTGGATGAGTAGAAGATGTTATATTTTAAAAATAATTCAAGGGCTGGGATGGTGGCTCAGTGGTATAGTGCTTACCTTGCATGCATGAGGCTCTGGGTTCGATTCCTCAGCACCACATAAGCAGAAAAAGCCAGAAGTAGTGCTGTGGCTCAAGTGGTAGAATGCTAGCCTTGAGCTGAAGAGCTGAGGGACAGCACCCAGACCCAGAGTTCAGGCCCCACGACCAACAACAACAACAACAAAATTAAAAAAATAATTATAATTTAAAATCCTTTATATACACCAAAAGTAACATGTTGATAATTATCCTGAAGGGGATATATATGTGTTTGTGTTCTCTGAGTTTAAAAATAGTCCCCTTTTGCATCTACAGATTGTGTTCTGCTTGTGATAATTGCATACACAGAAGCAACCATTACAAGTGTCTATTGAGGACAGCATAGCCTAGTATTGTCCCAGTGAAGTAGCAGTTTTACACCAGGGTACTTTGTCCCCCAGGGCACCTTTGACCTTATCTGGAAACATTTTGGGTTGTCAGACTTAAGGGTGGGGTATAGTTTCATCTAGTGAGTGGAGGTCACAGAAGCTGCTCAACATTGTGCAATGCAAAGGACCCCTGCAGCAGTTCTCTAGTTCAAAATGTCATAATGCCAAGGCTGAGAAACCCTACTTGAAGGTGTATTTGTAAGGTATAAAATCAGAGTATATTCCCATTTTTAAAATATACTCTTTTATAATGCTTAAGAAGTTTAATTTTAAAAAAGATAGTGTTGATCTGAGATTTGAAGCCGTATGTACTTAACAGTAGGTAACTTTAAAAAATCAAATAATTCATTCTTTTTTTTTTTTTTTTTTGGTCCGGTCATGGGGCCTGAACTCTGGGCCTGGGTGCTGTCCCTCAGCTCTTCAGCTCAAAGCTAGCGCTCTACCACTTGAGCCACAGCGCCACTTCTGGCTTTTTTCTTTTTGCTTATGTGGTGCTGAGGAATCGAACCCAGGGCCTCATGCATGCAAGGCAAGCGCTTTACCACTGAGCCACCTTCCCAGCCCAAATAATTCATTCTTATAATAGCAATAGATTCTGTTATTTAGCACTTATTTTCCAGACATACACAAACAACTTATCAAATTATACATTATGGTGCCTATTTTATACATATAACTAGTATACTTATATGTATTGACTCAAAGGACCTGTGCCTACTATACCTTGCCACTACCATTTATTCATTCACCTACTAAATGTTATTTAATACCTACAAAGTAACTAAGGCCATATAGCAGAGACTTTGGAACCAAACTACTTGTATATGAATCACATTTCAGCTATTTAACCAATTAATAAATTCTCTTGGCTTAGCTATAACAACTCCAAAATGGTATGATATACCTACACAAAGTAAAAGTAAAGAATGCAAATCGTTAGACTGGATTTAGGTAACTAAAGTAGGGTAGAAATGTGAAGAAGGAAGATGAATAGCTATGAATCAGCCATAAGAAGAAACAAAAGAGAATATAAGAGAACAATAGAGTGAGTAAGAAAATTGAATATGATATTAGAAATCATAAAGGAGAAAGGAAATTCTTTTTTTCTTATTGTGAAAATACCATACAGAGGGGTTACAATTACATGAGCAAGGTAATGAGTATAGGCCAAATACTGCCTGTAGTTTAGTGGGTGGGGATTTAACAGCAAAATGTAACGAAACTGAATTCATATATGGATGGATTTGACTGAAAGCTTTAGGCCACCCTAGGCTATGTAGCCAGTTCGAGATCTAGTTCACATAGGTGATCTGTTTCAGAAAACTAAGACTAAAATTAAGAATAAGCTTTGGTCAGGTATGGTGGCTTACACCTGCATTTTCTACACTCAGGAGGCTTAGGTGGGATAAGAAGATACAGTCTTGTTTTCCCCCAATATAGTACAGATACACCTGGATCCTTTTCTTTTCCCCAATGTGGTCATCTGATTGTGATTAAATATTTAGAAGCTGCCATAATAAAATACTTTTTAGCAAGAGGTAAATGTTTGTTAATGATCATAATTATACTCAACTATTGGTCCAATATAACAGATCTAAAATTTTGGGTTTTTTAAATTCTTGGTTGCAGGCAGGGAACAGATAGTCTTCTTTTGTATGTTTTCACATTTTCTATCTTCAAGCAGTAGTTATCCAATAGTTTTTTTTTATTGTTTCCCAAAATAAGTATGCTTTACTTTACCATCCCATACATTATTGATAAGCATTTATAAATATATACACATACATGTAATGCATATATAGAGAATATACCTTTATACTATTTCTGTAATTGACACAAAAGCTTCGGAAAATAAGACTTACTCTTATTTGGTGAGATACACTTAATATTTTCTACACTATTCTATTACATATTAAAATGTTCTGGTAATGACTTACTACATTAAGTTTTTGGCCTCTAGTAATCATAACCTATAGTTTGAACAAATCACTTCTGTGGGGTTGTTTTGTTGTTGTCGTTGTTTTCCTTTGCAGTCCTAGGGTGAGGACTCAGGGCCTGTGCACTGTCCCTGAACTTGTTTTGCTCAAGGCTAGCACTCTCCCACTTGAGCCACAGCATCAATTCTGACTTTTTTCTGTTTATTTGATACTGAGGAATCGAACCCAGGGCTCATGCATGCTAGGCAAGCACTCCACCACTAAGCTGTATTTCCAGCCCCATCAACTAAAATAGTATGCCTTTTCACTTTGCATGATGATAAAAATTACCTCGATTTTTTTTTGTTTGTTTTTGTTTTTTGTCAGTTGTGGGGCCTGAACTTTAGGCCTGGGCGCTGTCCCTCAGCTCTTCACCTCAAGGCTAGCACCCTACCACTTGAGCCACAGCGCCACTTCTGACTTTTTTCTGCTTATGTGGTGCTGAGGAATTGAACCCAGGGCCTAATGCATGTGGGGCAAGCACTCTACCATTGAGCCAACATCCCAGCCCTACCTAGAAAATTTTAAAACAGAAACACTCTTCAGTTTTAAGATGAATTCTCTGAATCTGTATTCTTATGCCTTTTTTTTTTTTTTCAGAACTCATGGCTCACACTTTCTGTGCAGGCACACCACTTGAGCCATACATACCCTCAGGCCTTTTTTGCTTTAGTTAATTTCCAGGTAGGGTCTTGCATTTTTGCCGGTAATCAGTCCTAGATAACGATTCTCCTACTACAGCTTCCCACCTACTTGGAATCATAAATGCAAGTCACTGTGCTCAACTTCTTGGTTTACTATAACTGTTTCCCTTGGCTACTCTTTTTTTTTTTTTGGTCGGTCATGGGGCTTGAACTCTGGGCCTGGGCACTGTCCCTCAGCTCTTCAGCTCAAGGCTAGCTTTCTACTGCTTGAGCCACGCAGCCACTTCTGGTTTTCTAGTGGTTTATTGGAGATCAGAGTCTCGTGGACTTTCCTGCCCGGGCTGGCTTTGTATCAGGATCCTCAGATCTCAGCCTCCTGAATAGTGAGGATTACAGGCATGAGTCACTGGCACCCAGCTTCCCTTGGCTACTCTTAAAATACAATCCTCTTGATCTCTGCTTCTGAAGTACTAGGATTGCAGGTGTTTTGTTTTGTTTTGTTTTCTGGGTTTTTTAAATAATTTGCTATGTAGACGAGGCTGGCCTTGAACTCAATCACTCATTCCCTTCATCCTGATCTCTCAACCTACCCTCTTTGAACAATAAACAACACCAATTTACTCTGGGCTTGGCAGGCTAGGCTTCCCAGTTAGCAAAGACTACTTTAAAGAGAAAGACATACTAATCAATAAAATCAGAACTAAGAACATATAATAAATATAATCTTTTCTTTATCTTGTTGAAATTTTATCCAAAATTAAACTTTTAAATTTTTTATTTTTAAAAGCAAGTAAAGAATACAATAAAAGAATGCCTTTATGCACAAAAAAAATTTTTTTAATTTATTTTTGTGTCAGTGCTGGGGCATAAACTCAGGGTGTAGGCACTGCCCTGACCTTTCATGTGCAAGGCTAGAACTCTACTACTTAAGCCACAACTCCACTTTTGGGATTTTTTTGGTGTTTTAACTGAAGCATCTCATGGGTTTTCCTGCCTGGGCTGGCTTCAAAGTTTTATTTTCAGATCTCAGCTTCCTGAGTAGCTAGAATTACAGGCATGAGCCTAGAAGAACTGAGCTTTAAACTTTATTTTTAAGCTTTAGGTTCATCATTGCACCTGATATAGAATAAACTTACAATTGAATATACATTTGGAGTCATTTCATTATAACTACCATGATTATAAGTGGCATTTAAACCTTTGCCCAGTAATTCTGATCATTTTTTATAGACATTGTGTTGTACAAATAGTGATTGTATTGTTAAATATGTCCATGGCAATGATTCATTGCTCCCTTACTATGTGGGCTTAGTGTTCTATATAAAGGAATATTCCAGATTGTTGGGGCTCTTATATTTGTGTGTTGTAGTCTATTTTAGATAAACCTTTTGAAATTCTCAACAGACTTCCCTGTTTTATAAAGAGCATATACAACATAATTTTTCCTCTTTCTTGTGGTAGTTATCTTTACCTATCCTTGACATGAAGACTTTCCCCCAAATGCTCTCTTCTCTTCCTATTTAACATTTCCCTAACTGGGAAAACTCATCCATGGTTCTGTGTGAACTATCATAAATGCAAATTGAGACTATTTTTTTTCCTTTTGAACTTTATGGCTGTTTTTTCCATAGCTTGTTTCACTGGGTAGAAACTCTAGTTTTGTATAGAATTGAGAGAGTAGAATCTTGATGATTGGTTCTTGACTTGGAAGAAATCATTTTGTATTTTATTATTTTAAGTATAATTGTAGTAGGTGTAAATTCATAATGATGTTGGTTACGAGGTATTTTTTAGATATTAGATTTAACAGATTTCTTTTTATTTCTAATTTGCTAGGACTTTTTA